GGGGGGGGGGGGGGGGGGGGGGGGGGGGGGGGGGGGGGGGGGGGCGCAGACAGTCGACTCAATAGATGTCATATGCCTAGTAACAAGTTGCAAGTTGATGGGTTGAGCACTCCAAGCGATGGCAGTTGTTGATCTTGCGAGACCCATGGAACTACGCACTTAGCAATACTTAGCAATGATTGTATCGATTTATTCTTATTTATGTCGCTCCTCAGTTCATATTGCCAACATGAATTTCTCCTATTTATGTCGCTCCAACCTTAATTTCGGCTTTGTTACAAAAAGTGAACAATCAAAAGATTCACTTTTAACGAAATGTGTATTTTGTGGAAAATCGCAATAGCATAGCACCTTTAAGTTTTGTTTTTCGTTTCTTTTGAAATTCGAAATTTCGTTGCTGGAAATTTGGGATATTGACATATTGTTACAATTTTTTTTTTCGAATGGTATGTCCTTTTGCAATGTGATGAAATCCGCAGGCCACGGCAGCAGTCCGCGGTGCATGCTCACTCGCTCACAAACAACGGGGATGGAGCAGAAGCAAGGCAGATCTGACGCGGACTATGAGACACGGATGATGGCTATGATGGTCGAAAGCAAGCAACGGTCAGAAGCAGCAGCAGCGGCACGAAAGAAGAAGGAGGCAGAGGCAAAGAGGCTGCGTCTTCTGGCAGAAGAACAACGGCAGAAGCACGCAGCAGCAACAACTAAGGTCGCAGATGAAGAACGCGTACGACGACGGGAGTTTCTATTCAAGGAGAAGAATGCGGTACACACGCAAGTCAAAGATCGGCAGAAGGAGGCCGAGAGTGAGGATTCCGCTGACTACGGGAACAAGTTATCTCAACTGCTCAACCTCGTCTCAGACCTTCTCGCTATGTGCATTGCACAACGGGAGGACACTCACTTTCTCGACCACACCAACCAAGCGCTACAGCAGTCAGTGGATCGACTAACCAAGCAGCGAGTCGTCGCCTCCTCCAACGTCAGCCCCTCCGACCTTGGAGATAGACGTGGGAACAATCAAGATCGGGGCTCAGCGGCTAGAGCAGCAGGTTTGCGCAACAACAACCGGCCCTAGCACGTCGTCATATGAGAGCATTCCCAAATTTGAGGGGCTCCCGATCTTTTGTGACGCATCGAAGACGGACCCTGTACAATGGTGGCGCCAGTTCAAACTCAAGCTGGACATCCACAAGGTCGACGACAACAATCGACACGCATACTTGTACACACAGTTAGGCGGTGTGTGTCAAGCATGGCTGGACAACATGCTGTCCACATATGCGTGCACAGTCTCTGAGTTGCATAACTTCATCACCTCGACCAATCTCATGGCGACATGGCAGAAACATTTCCAAGTGGCCAGGACTATCTGGCCATTTTGCCTGTTCGGCCTTTGGGACCGGGCCGTGGTCTGACCCCACAGGCCGTGTGCTCATTCAGTCCAGTGCAGTCCACCATGGTACCACTGTCGATACCAGGCCAGTACAGTCCAGACCAAGTCAGTCCGTTGGGGGTATACCCCGGTTGCAGTCTGTTTTTCATTCAATCTTCATCTGCGCACTTTGGAGTACGTGCATGTTGAGTCTATGTCGGACCTGCGTTGATACATGCCCAGTTGGGCAATATAGGTGCAGCCAAGGATCCACAATGTGATGAAAAGGACTGAATGGACAATGCAATGTTAGTGCAACATCAACAGGCAATGCACATCCTGATACGTACGAAATGGCACTAATGGCGCAGTGGAAGACTTGGATATACGTCCTGACCTGACCGGGACTGACAGGCCATCCCATCATACATCACACATGTGAGAGGAGGAGGAGGGACCGCACACAAAGAAGAAAGGTCCCTCCTTGTACACGCACATGGGGAGATACCACAGATGCGAGATGGGGAGAGAGGAGAGAGGAGAGACGAAGATGGAGGCGAGGGGGAAGTCCAAGATAACAATAGTGATGTCCAAAAACAGTCCCTTGCTGATGTCCAATCAATGTCTGTCTCAGAAATGTCAAACCCGATCCTGGGCACAATGCCCACTGTAACCCCTGCCGATATCCTCTGCTGATAACCTCTCTCACTCCCATATCTGAAGAAGAAGAAGAAGAAGAAGAAGAAGAAGAAGAAGATGAAGATGAGGGAGGAGGAAGGAGGAAGAGGGAGAGAGAGAGATGAGATGGAGGACGAGGAGGGAGAAGAAGATGTCGTCCTCCTCACTTTCTCACCTGCAGGTGGCTACCGCCGTGCTGACTATGTCGCCGCCCTGTGCAGGTACCGTGCGGACCCCCAGCTATGGCGCCAGATTAGTCCGCCGCTGCAGGTAAGCCTCCGCCGCTCTCTCCTCCCGTGTGTGTCTCCATCCTGGTCCAGCAGCGCAGCGCTATAATAGCGCAGCATAGTGCAGCCTCTATCCAGCAGCGTGTCGCTCAAGAAGTGAGCAACCGAACTACCCTGTGCCCAGCAGGAGGCCCAGCTATATAGTGCGCTGGGCCCTACTGGGCGAACCGTTGTGTGGCCTAGAACGGCCTGCATGGTCGAGGTCCCTACCGGGGCCCGGGCCGTGCTGGGTGCAGTATGGCGCCAAGACACGCCTGGGCCTGTTTCGGCCGTGCAGCGTGGCGCCAAAATGCGCCTGGGCCTGTTTCGGCCCTGCGTCTGGTGCACCCAGCCCAAGGCTGTGCCTTGGGGACTGCAAGTCCAAAACGGTTTCTGAACCGACAAACGTAGGGCAGCACCTCACCTCATAAATAAATAAATAAATAAATAAATAAATAAATAAATAAATAAATGAGTGAGTGCTGCCTCACCCTGTGCCTGCATCCTAGAGGGCCGCCGTGGGCCTCCAGGGCGCGCGCTGGATGGCGTGCGGCCTGGGGGCCCCTCAGCAGCCGTCGGGGCCCTGCAAATGGGCGTGTGTGCAGGCGCAGCATGCAACACCCCCCCCTCCTTATGAAGTCAAGCCGGTTTGAGGGCGAAGCTGACGATCTGAAGGTGGAACCTCAACGCGGGTGCGACGTGGAACCAAAGATGCCAGCTTGCCTTGCAACTTGCGTTCGTAGCGTGCGAGAACATCGGGAGATGTTGCTTGTAGTTCCGCACAGGTCAACCAACGGTCAGCTCGATGGGTGCAGTATGCGAAATGGACCAAGAATTCAGTCAGCCTGTTGCCATAATGTCGCTGGGATATGATGTTGCCAACCTCTAGAAAATCGTTTATCGAGCGTGGGTCTTGCGATCATCGCCCGAGAAAGTCGTCATGTTCCACTAGCGTGTAAAAAGTCAACTTGGAGCAGTGAAAGACTGGGTTGACGGGCAAGTGGGCGGGCACCTGAATGACAAATGAAGGTCCTTCGGGTGTGTCCCCAGCGGGTGCCACGATCGATCAAGGCCCCATCCATTTCGGAAGGAGCTTGCGAGAGTGATCTTGTTCGAGGCTGAATTCTGCGGCGGAAACCCATACGCGGTCGCCGGCGAGGAACGGACAAGGAAGACGCTAGCGGTTGGCCTGTGAGCGCATACGTTGCTGCGTCTTCGACATCTGGTCGCGTGCCTTGACAAGAAGCTCTTGCATCTGACGAATGAAGAGAAGATGGTCGTCGCTCTCGGCCGCCCTTGGGATAATCGTGTCCAACGGAGAATTGACCGACGAGCCATGCTCAAACTCAAAGGGCGACATCCCGATAGCCGGATGGATGGACGAGTTGTATGCCAACTCGACATTCGGCAGCCGTTCAACCCAATCCTTTTCGTCGGAACGGATGAGAGTGTGAAAAAGAACCTGTGCGGTCTGATGTGCCTTCTCCGTTTGGCCATCAGTTTGGGGGTGGCGAGCCGAACTCGGCTTGAGAGATGAGCCCCATCATTTGATGAGTGCCAACCAGAAATGGGACATGAACGGAGTGTCACGGTCGCGCATGATTTCCTTGGGGTAACCCTTGGTTCAAATCCAACCGGCGTAAAGAACCTCGCCCAACTCCGGTGCCTTGGCATGATAGCGGCAAGGCAAAAACATGGCAAACTTGGTGAGTCGGTCGACCACCGTGAGAATCTCATCCACACCAGTCTTGTCCTTGGGGAACGGCCCGGTAATGTCCATGGCGATCGCTTCCCTTTAGCGCAGGGGGACCGGCAATGATCGCAACTCGCCGTATGGACGATGATTGCAAGATTTGCAACGTCGGCAAACCTCGCATGACTCGCAATAGCGTGTGACGTCGTCGAGAAGACCGGGCCACCCAAAGCACTCATGGAGTCGGCCAATCGTACGATTGACTCCAAAATATCCGGTGGCGGGAGCATCGTCGAACTCGCCAAGAAGTCGCGTACGCAAGTGTGAATCTCGTGACACACAAAGAAGATCCTTCCCCCACGAGTGGACGAGCAAATATCCCTCTTGGATCTGATAGTGCGATGGCGCCAAATTGGGAGAGGAACAATTCGCGTACTTGTTGCGAAACTCGGGGTCGGCTTGATAGCCGCGGATGAAGCTGTCCCGCAGGTCGTTATCAATCTCCAAGGTTGAATAGACTGCGGTACAATGGTCCGGACGCCATGAGAGAGCATCTGCAAAACGGTTTGACTTCCCCGGAATATGATTGGGAAAGAAGTCGAACTGGTCGATGAAAGCCATCCACCGGGTGACGGTGCGATTGACGGTATCTTGGGTCTTGTAGAAGACCAATGGATTGTTGTCCGTTACCCATCAGAATTAGCTTCGACCAAGGAGGAAGTGTCGCCACCGCTTGAGCGCGTGGACGAAGTCTAGAAGCTTCTTCTTGCATGCATCATCAATTGAGTGCACGATGGGCACTTCTTTCTTGCTGAAGTACTCGACCGGGTGCCAGTCCACTCCATCATGTTGTTCAAGGACGGCACCAGTGCCATAGCCAGACGCATCCGTAGTGACGCACGTTAGCAATAGCGGGTCGTATATGCGCAATATCTCCGGGGATAGCAATGCGGCCTTGAGGGCCAAAAATTATTCCCGCGCATCCTTCCCGAAGTCAAACGGTCGATCCTCGCATTGAAGGTTGGTCAAGTGAGTCGCGATCTTCGAGTATCCCTTGATGAAACGTTGGTAGTAGCCGGCAAGGCCAAGGAATGAACGGACATTCGTAACATTCTGCGACTCTGACCAATCTTGGATGGCTTGAATGTTATCCAACAATGGATTAATGCCCTCCGGTGTGATAAAGTGGCCCAAGTATTCCGACTCTTGACGCATGAATTCACACTTGTCGCGGTTGGCTTTGTACTTGGCGCAGCGGAGCATCTCCGACACTCGTCGAAGATGCTTGAGATGTTCTTCCAAGGTCCGGCTATAGATGAGGATGTCGTCCAAGTGGAGCAGCACAGACCGGTCTAGCATTGCGCGGAACTCGTTGGTCATCGTCGCTTGAAAAGTCGGGGCATTGGTGAGGCCAAAAGGCATGACCACCCACTCAAAATACCCGTACCGCATCTTGAATGCGGTCTCGTAGCGATCTTTCGGGCGTATCGAAATTTGATGATATCCCGACTTCAAATCCAATTTTGAAAAAAAAGTTGCGTCGCCCAAACACTCCAGAAGGTCGTCACACGAGCAAGAGGTCCCGCGTTCTTGACGTTTTGTGCATTGAGCTTGCGGTAATCGATGCATAGGCGAATATCCTTGTTCTTCTTCCGTACGAAGAGAACTGGTGCACCATATGGTGAGCTAATAGGCCGGATCCAGCCTTTGTCCAACAAGTCATCCAGCTTCGCGCGGAGTACTGTAAGTTCCTCCTCGCTCATGCGATCGATGCAACCTTTCGGCGGCACGACACTGGCCTCGAGAATGATCTCGTGAGAGATTGGCCGATCCGGCACCACGCCGGTAGGTGGCTCGAAGATGTCGGCAAACTCATCAAGCAGTTGTACCACACGGGGGTCCGAAGACAAATCCGTGGGTGGAGATTCGGCTACCGTGACGGTTCGAAGAAAACAGAGGCCCGCTCATAAGCACAAGTAGCTCAAAATGACTTGGCTGTCACAACCTGGCACCGGATCGAAGGGTGCGGAGGAGGGATGGTATATGGCACTTCGGCGCCAAAGGCGTCGCAGACCGTAAGTGTCCGCTGACGGAAGTTGATTGTGTGATCCGCACTTGCAAGCCAAGGCATGCCCAAAATGATGTCGAAGTCTGTGTCTAATACGCCAACCGTCACCGGTTTGCATGCACGAGGTGCAAAACAAACCGATACGACCTCGATGTAGCAGTCAAGGAGTTGTTGCGTCCTGCCGTCCGCCAACTTGATCGTCGTAGAGTGTGCGTTCCTTCGAAATTGTGGGCCAAGGCCAGCCCTTTGGACAAAGGACTGGCTGATGAAATTGCGAGCCGCGCCGCTATCCAGCAAAGTGTTGCAGGATGCTTGCCCAACTTGGATGCGGACATAAAGGAGTGGTACGTTGTTGTCATCGTACCACTGCACGCGAAACTCGCAGGCCACCTTGGTAACATACGCAAGTATGTCCCCCACCGCGACTTCGTCATTCGTCGGCGAAGTTGGTGGTGCATAGAATGATAGAAGGCCAAGTATGTATGTAGATGAGCGCTAAGTGTTGCGCATTGGGGTTCCGGTAAGTAGCTGGTGGAAGGGAGAGGAAGCCATGCAAAATCCTCGGGCGTCACGGGTCCAAGTCCTCTATGTTGAACACGCCCGCCGAATCCCGTGAAGCTCCACTTGAAGATGACTCAACGTTGCTGCTTCAGAACGGAGAAGAAACCGCACGTACACCCTATCCTTGGGCTCGTGAATTCAGCGAACGTACGAGCCGGGCAACATAGTCCTCGAAAGAATGAAGAATGGGAGGACTTACTACTTCCGCATGTGCCCCGGAACCGAGGGTGGTTACCCGTACGACAACCGTTTCGAAAGGCATCGAGAGTGTCGCCGCATCACTCTCGGCTGTGCTCACTTTCACGATTGGGAAGTGCCCTTGGTTTTGCAGCTTGCGGTATCATGCACTGAGTTGTTGCACCACAAACAATAGTGGTACTTGGTGCGGACGCGATACCCACGCTCCGTAAGACCATAATGTGTCTAAGGTTCTGGAGTTGGAGCTGCTTGTCCGGGCCCAGAAGAAGTGGTGTTCGTCTTCGTTTTGTCGCATCTCATTCTTTGGCGGGGCGGCCACCGTTCCGGGCAGCTGCTAATATGTCTCCCTCGTCAGAAGAGGCAGCCTCACTTGAATCTGAAGGGTCGCTCGACGTTGCCGCTGCGACCACGACCACTCTCGGTCGATGCTGATACACGCCCTGGCTGGCAGTTGACGAGCGACCAATATTATTGGCTTCCATGTTTGTCACAATGATTTGCGCAGCCTTGTTGAAGAGTTTCTCACTTGTGTTGAGGTTCTTGAGGACTTGAGTCAATGCGTTTTGCAACGCCGGGCATGACCGCTTGACGAAGTACAACTTGATGTCGTCGAAGGTCATCGGCAGTTTTAGAGTGCTCGCCAAACGTTGGAACTCAGATATCCAGTCTCCTCTTGGCATGCTGTTCTGAGAGAATGTCAGCAGCTTGTCCATCGCCTGATGCTCGGGATGAGGGAGAAGTTGACATGCTCCAGCTTGTATTCACTCAGTGATTTCTAAGCATTGTGACTCGTGCTTGTTATGTCAATCGGGGACTTCATTTTGTCGATTATATTTTGTTTATGCCTGAACTAACTCCATTTAGTGCACTTTCTTTTGTTGCAATCCATCACCCCTTGCTGAAGAGTTGTCCATAGTCACATGTCAAATGGCTGACAATCAGGCATGTAAACTTCGTGTCAAACGTGTTTGAAGTGCACCCATCTAAGCCATCTTACCGTTGTGCTCCTGAAGTGAGGCCTTGTAAATCCTGACTTGAGTCAAGAGTTTTGTCCTCGGAGTCCAGACCAGTATGGCAGGCTGCCATCCTGGTCTGGACTCCAAAGGCAAAACTCTTGACTGAAGTCCAAAGCAGTATTCAAAATGACAGTCATGTTCTTACATGTAAAAGCGCTCTCATGGACAGATTCGTCATGTCTGCTCTTTGTGATATGCGATTATCAATGAATGTCTGCTCTTTGTAAATAAGTCTCCTCGTCTTGCTTGAGCATCTGTGACATGGTCCCAATCATATTGATACTAGTAGACTTACAACGTGTGGCAGGTTGCCTTGGATTTCCCTTACTATTGGACATTACAGAACAGCGGCTGTTGCTTTGTATAAGGGTGATATATGACACTGTTTTGTCGACCTGAATGAGACCTAACCCATTGTGCCCTGCCTCTGCTCCAATCTATGCAGTGAGAGATCTGCTCTGATTCTGCTGTGCCTAATGAGAGGGGTTATGAGGCCAGGTGTTCAAAATAGAACTTTCTCATAATGATGTTTTTTCCTCCTGTCCAGCATTAATGATGCCATACCCTCGTGGACCAACCCTTGCTCATGTATCTGCGATTCTCTTATCTGGCATCAGATCAGACGCGAAGCGTCTGCTGAGCACAGTGCAAGGTCAGGAAATCAATACTCTAGCTACAAGTGAGATTCATTCCAGACAATCAAGAGTCGGAAGGCGCGAAGTGAAGCTGTTTGTCAGCTTCCCTTCCCGAGTGAGGCATGACATACAAGACGGTTTTTTTTTTTTGTGTGTGTGTGTGGGACAAATCTCCAATCTATTTGTGGGGAGCAACAAGTGCTGGGAACCGGGCCCAGTGTCCCATAAATGAACATACAGAACAAATGAGAGACCAGGGCCATTGCCCGGCTTAGGCTGAGAATAGTAGAATACTCAAGAACATCTACTGGAAGCCAGAAGATCTATGAATAGACTAGGAATTCTGAGTTGCGTAAGATCGTGGTGAAGTACCATCCGTGAGACTAATCCATAAAATGCGACTCATATCAAAAGCAAACTCCGCCCTCTTCCATTGACCGTGTGTAGCGCCTGTTGTCACATGCGTTATGCTGCTCAGCAGTGAGCAGCTGCTATGAAAGCTCACGCGAAAACTGGATCAACGTGTCCATAACCTTTCGAGGTTATCCCCTGATGCCGTGCACAGACAGCAGACGAAACCTCAAGGGAATTTGATGCTGAAAACTTCAGACGGTGAGGATGATGCTTGGTACCCTGGATGGCCAGGAGCCAGATCAGCATCTCAGAGGTGGTGGGAAGAATTACAAATGCCTACTTGCTTTTACTATGAGACCTATTTAACCGTTTGAGCGGGCTTGAGCGGTTCAGCGCGAGCTTAAGCGCGCACTCGTGTAAGCTCGCGCTCAAACGTGCTCAATTCGGTTTCCGGGGTGGATGCTCGCAGAAAATTGAGCGCCGCGCCTGGCGGGGGTGCACGTGTCAACGGGGACACATGGGGGGGGTTGCACAGAAAAAAAAATAAAAAAAAATGGGGTGGGGGGTTGCCAGGGCTGGGTAGGCAGTGGAGGAGGTCCGAGGGTTGTTTTGGGGGCTCTGATGGCTGGCCAGGGGG